TGGTAGTTTAGTACTCAAGACCTGAAAAGCAATACATGGAACTGGATCTTGCATACGAACCAGATAAAGTAGTGGTGTCCTTGAAGTATAAATCCAGTATGTATGCAATTGACGGACGTGCTTGTCTTTCCTTGCTACAGGGAAGTTCCAAACTGAACTGGGCAAATCCTGGGCTTTGGAAATAGCATCAAGGAGAAAGCAAGGACAATAGTTTTACAGTTTTTACCTGAAAAATCTTTATCACGGCCTGCCATATCCACCTTGAGCTGATCTTTTAGGGCACAGTTAGTATTCAATTATCAAGTTGTTCGAACTAATTTTGACGTAAGAGAACACCAGATGAATTGCTTAGTTGGAATTGCAGGATACTGCTATGCTGGCTTATTTATGAGCCTCTAAATCCCCCTTCGATTTCATATCCCTCGAAAAAAAAGTTCGTAGAGGCTATCTTTTTGCATAATTTTCAGAAAGTTGTCTGGTATAAGATAAGGCAACAATAGTATTCCATTCCCGTATGCTTGGAACAAATCTAAATTTTTTGTGATATTCACCCGCAAAGCTGAAGTTGGAGAATTTTGCAAGTTCGTATGAATTATGATAAAATTAATCTAATAAGGAAGTTTATGTGAAATTTAAATAACCACTGCAAGTTTCATAATAGATGTGTTAATTTTACATAAAAATTCATTTGAGTACAACTTCATACTTCCTTCAACCTACAAATCAATTTCAGAAATCTTTCAATATGGTGGGGGGTATGGCAGTGGCAAGATTCTCTTATGGGAGCAAGCCTGGTGATGCAGGCCCCGGTGCCTGGTGGGTTGATAAGCCCTAGCAAAATGGCTGGGAGAGTTTGAGTGGTGGGTGAGCTCTGAGGCGAATTGGAGGGCCCAAATTTGGCAGGAAGTTGGATTAGTGAACTCAAAGACCAATGATCTAAATTCTAAGTGGATCAATTTTTGTGGGTATTTTCTGTAATCATGATTCCTTAATCCTTGTTAAAAATGTTAATGTATTTAGATTTGTTTGACATGTTTAATCTTTATTCTAAATGTATTAAATAGATTAGCTGATATGAAATATTATTTGACCCATAAATTAAAATACGTATAATAATATTTCATACATGTATACATATATATTAATTACTAATGGGTCATGATAAAATACATATTTTTCTAATAACTTCGTACATTAATTAATTAAGTAATACATATATATTAATTAGAGTACAAGCAAAAAAAACATTCAGTTAAAAGAGTGATTGATAAATACATATTTCAATTAATATATCTCTCCAGTCAAATAGAATTAAGTGAGTTAATTTGTTAATAAATTAGGTGTTTGTACGAGTCGAATAAGGAACACTGTGTAAATGAAATACTATGAAATTTTCTAACCCTAATGGGAACGAACCACGCAACAAGCACATGCCAAACGCCAAAGCGAAGAACTTTCAGATTCCAAATGTCAGAAACTTGTAATAGGAACCAAAAAAAACTACATCCAATCAAGCGAATGACCAAAGCAGAGTTTGGTAAATGATGTTCTGCTAGAATCAACTTTCTAGTCATTATATACATTCGTAAAAAACGAATACCTTGTGTGCATAATAACTCAGATTTTCATTTGCTTCGACAAGAAACATCAATTCAACGATGCTCCCTCCACTAAACTCAGTGGGAGTGTCAATACGGCTGACGGAGGACACGTGTCATTAACCCAGTACAATACGTTCCCACGTTTTCTTTCTCAGCCACGCCTCTTGTTGTCCAGCAAAAACCCTAGTTCAACCAACTCATCATACCTCCACTTTCTTAAACAAAGCGCCTCAAGAACTCTCCAGTCTCATTATCCACAACTATAAATAACTCCATTCCTCCTTCGGTTTCCTCACAAGTCAAAAGTTCTTAACCTTCACTAATTCCTTCCCATTCAGCAACCCATTTTCTTTCCGTGTTCTCTCTTTTCGTCAGCTTCCTCATTAAGGCCTCCGTTGCTACGTACGCATATCTCAGTATAGTATATATATACACAGAGGCATGGCTGCGTTTCGGAGCTCGTTAGCTTTCGCTGGCTTGTTAGTTCTTGTCTCGGCGATCGTCTCCGAAAGCAGGGTTGCGAGAAAGGATCTCGGTTTGGATCTTGGCGGTGTAGGAGTCGGACTTGGAACAGGACTCGGCATCGGATTGGGAGGAGGTGGTAGCGGCAGTGGTTCCGGGTCTGGATCCGGTTCCGGTTCCGGTTCGGGCTCTTCATCGGGGTCGAGCTCATCATCTTCGTCTGGGTCCAGCAGCTCTGCAGGTTCGGGTTCAGATGCAGGCTCGGAAGCGGAGTCATATGCGGGCTCCCATGCAGGGTCTCGAGCGGGGTCAGGGTCCGGGGATAACCAGAGAGGAGGATCGGGTAACGGAACCGGTTCTGGACATGGAGAAGGATATGGGCATGGCGAAGGTTCTGGTAGGGGAAATGGTTCGGGCAATGGTGAAGGGTACGGTGAGGGACGTGGATATGGCGAGGGTTACGGCAGCGGTGGAGGTGGCAACTGAAGAACATACATATATACACATATATATAAGCAAAAACTATATGATCATTACATATATATATATATATATAAACAAATTTCTTGTATGTCAGCTTGCTATATTAACATATATTTGATTTTGTGGTAAGAAAAATGCCTATAGCTCTATTTTCTGTTTGACCTGATTCAAACAAGTAAAGATATAATTAACTTACAAATACGAATCAGATTAATCTCAAGGGTTAATCGGATATCACCTCCAGAAACACCAGAGAACCTAAATAATTGCATGCGGCCATGAAATTAGAGATAAATCTCGAATACGATCTTTATAAATAGCATCATGAGATTGTAGAAATATATATATTGTTAATTATATTGATATATACACAAAATTTATAATACAATATTTTCTGGTATACAGTTAAATTCACAATTTCTTATAAAAATTTGAAAAATATTAAGTACATAGTCAATGATTGACTGATTCTAAATTGTTGTAAAAGCTAATATGAAGATATATTCATGTTGAAAAAATTAACTTTGAGTCCGGCTTACCACTAGTACCTATACATTTACTTACTATATATCGATCATTGTATTTCTCATAAAAGACTGTTCGTGTTCTACTTTTGCTTTTTACTAATTATTTCTTGATCTCTCCTCGTTGGACATATCATGATGATCATCATGAGCAGTCATTAAGAAAAGCTAAGTGTTGTGCTAAAGTAATTAAGCATCATTATTCAAGAATTACTTCTGTGAGTAAAGTATAAGAAAATTTCTAATCATACTTTAATTGGATACTATACGAAATCGTGAATTTAAATCATATTATTCTATTGTTTGTGTTTTCGTTTTAAAATTATTTCGTTTATATTATGATTAATATATATATATATTATTTAATTATTATATTTTTTTTTATAATAAATAATGAGTTTAATAAACTCAGGGACCGTTAGTAGGTGCAGTAAAAAATTTAGCGTTCGGACACCAATTCGGTTAAGAATCTCTTATCTTATTCCCTGTTATGAAATTGAAGTTTAATTAATAATAATACGGTATTTTGTGTAATTTAGAAAATATTTGTAATTAATTACAGATTAATAATAGAGACGGAACTGATTACTTATTACTGTTTACTATGTTTAACTGATTGTCTTATTTTACAATTTTCGAATGCATGATAATACACTGGAATTAGCATGATGATGTAATTGTATTTTATTGATGCATGTATTGCTTGTTTTATGTGATTATGGTTAAATTGGAAAACTGAAAATTAAATGTAAACGAAAAATTATTTAATTAAGTGGATGGATGAACGGCAGCCTTACTGAATATCCTGAGAGATGATAGACGGACCAGATACATAAGGAACCCTACTGTGAACGTTGCCTCATACCGGACGGGATATCAAATATTGGTAATTTGGCGCTCATACCGGATGGGGTATGAGAACAGCCCATTTTATCCTCATACCAGATGATATATTAAGGGATGATATCTTTTGACGTTCATACTATACGGAGTATAAGGACGACTTATTATTTAAAAATATTAAATAAATATTCACGTGTAGTGGGGATATCCCTATGGATCCTCTTGGATACTAGTAGACTGATAAAAGAGAAAATTTATTGTTCCGACTGATTGCATATAAGATTATGGTATTGTTTATGTTCTTGACTCTATAAATTAGTTTTGAAAATCTCGTTACGGTAAGCATATGGTAAATAATTTTATTCATAATAAACGAATTTACTTAAATTAAGAATTTTATTAGTTATTTTTATTATTTCTACCAACCTTCATTTCTGTGTCGATGAGTAGCGTGATATTCTTATTGGATTAGTGTAACTCATTCTTTTATTAATCATTTCAAATTAAGAGAACCAAGATGTAGAGTTCGATCCACAAAAGGGTTACAAATATGATGTTTAGTTATTTATTCTACATTTATTTCTTTAATTTTTCGTTATATCTTTTAAAATGGTCATTCTCGTAATTCTATTGGGTAATCTGAATTATTGTGTAAAGAATGTAAATCTTAACTATTTATTTCGCTTTCGCACTAAATTTATAATTTATCTTCTTTTAAAGTTCACGAGCCGTTACAACATTGTATGTATATTTTATACATATATATATTAAAGCACTATAGTTTAAATTAATCAAGTATTTGACCCAAAAAATTATTAAATTGGTTTTGTGCGAGTACATGATTGTCTAAATACATACGGCTATGTATTGCAAGACACATCACATTGCAATATTTGCGAGAAGTTGGGTTAGCTTTAATCTACCTACAATAATATACAAATATATCGTTGACTTCTGGGTCAAATTTATTAATAAATAATTTTTATATAATTATTTAATAAACCTTATTTAAGCCAATAAAACTCAAAATTAATTAATGGGTCAAGAATAGATAAGTGGAAGTGCATCATGGATGATGGGTCGGCACCGTTTCCATGATCATCACAAGATGCACATTCAAAAGAGTGTGTAGCAGACAGCCGCACTCCTCTCAATATCCATTTTCAGTTTTCAGCCACACAAAAAAACTACACCACCTTTGCCACGTGTCTCTTCCGCCATTGTTGATTAACTTTGCACGCGCATGCACCTTTACATATGCCGCTGTACCATCTTCTTTCATCTCATCCCCATCTTTACCTACTCTCCGTATTCTACTACTGCAAATTACTATAAATATAGGTACCTTTCTCTCTGTTTTTCTCACACAAGTCCCCTAAACTACTCCCCTCCCCCCCCTATAAAGAACATAACTTGTTGTTCTCATTGGATCATATACTTACACACACACACACACACATACACCCACATATATATATATATATATATATATAAAGAGTTGTGTGATATATCATCAATGGCGAAGTGGGTGTGTTTGGTTCTTATCGGTTTTCTTGTTTCGGCTATGGTGGCTGAGTGTACTTCTCGTCCTGTGGAAAGAAAGGACCTGGGGATCGACCTGGGTGGCGTTGGAGTCGGGTTGGGTATTGGACTTGGTTTAGGGCTTGGTGGAAGTGGTTCGGGTTCGGGTGCAGGAGCTGGGTCTGGATCCGGGTCTGGTTCGAGTTCGTCTTCCAGTTCGTCGTCTTCATCGTCCAGTTCGAGTTCCGGGTCGGGTGGAGGTGCAGGGTCAGAAGCAGGGTCGGAGGCAGGCTCTTCTGCCGGGTCAAGGGCCGGGTCTGGATCCGGTAACAGGCATGGTTAGGGAATATTCACATCATTTTGTTGGACCATATGAATTTATGAATAAATTAATAAGCATATGGTGGATTTGTCTTTTTAATTAGTCTGTCGTGTATTGTGTTTCTTTTATTCCCTGTAATAATCCATATGGGAAAATTATTGAAAAAAAAGCAAAATATTTTTCTTAATATATATATATGTGCGTTATATATATATATATTATATATATATAGTTATTCTAACATGGCTAATTTATAAAAGGCTTCAATTTGGAATGCTTATAAGTTGACGAATCCCATCTCGGTGACTGCTGACACAATCAACACGACCATGTAATTAACATCTTTTAAAATTTAATACCATTTGAATATTCTATCCAAATGTAAGAATATTTTCATCAATGCATAGCAAATTATTTTATATGTATATACAAGTTAAAATATATGCATAGGTCTATATATATATATATATATATATATATAACGCTATTTTATTGAGTAAGAAAGTATAATGTATGATAGCATGAGTTTCTCCAACTTAATATAACTCACTTGCAATATTCATAGATATCAGTTACTCGTACCTATATATAAATAATTAGATTTAATACCTATTGTAACTATCTCAATTATAAAAATTTATTCTTCACGTAATATTTTTTTTCATATATATAATAATTCGATAAAACGAATATGCATATGCATAAATATATGTATAAAAATATATTAAAGTTAAAATAATAAATTAGTTTCTATATTATTTATTTTTAATCAAATTAATTCTTGTTTTATTTTTTTATAAAAAAAAATGAGTAAGCATTAAATCTTTGTATTAAAGTTACAATTTTCTCATCACCCGAAAAAAAAAAACATAAAATTAGATAATAAAAATACAGAAGAAAATATTATGTGTTAATAAATTTGATATTTAAATTAACGATATTAATTTGTATTAAAAAAATATAATAATTAATTTAATAAGAAAATAATATACGTATTGATTTGAATAAAATTAAATAATACAGAATTGATATATTATATAAATCAGAAATTGGTTTTGTAAATTGAGAATTTGGAGTTAGACGTGTGCAGAATTTTGGCCACTTCTCTCAATGCATGCCATGTAAGAAAGCTGCATTATTCACTGAACAAAAATTTTTTAAAAAAAAAGGTAACAAGTTACAAAAAGAAGGAAGGAATAATATTAGCCAAAAAGTAAGCCGCCCAATTCAACTGACAATCCCCACTATGGCATGTTTGGGACACACAATAATAATGCAGTGCCACCCTCTTTTTGTAAACTTGTAGTGCAACCCAAGTTTCCCTCATCTTTATGAACATCACAATC